TGACATTTTTACGTTACAGCAGAGGAGTTGTTCTTTCACAAAACTTTAGTGATACATTTGTCATTACATTACAAATCAAACCTCACTGGTCGTACAATTTATACTGAAATGTCTTGCCCAGACTGGAGGTGGCACGTTACGTTTGGTACAATTAATAAGTAACTGGTATATTCTGAACTTGCAAGTGGCGTAAGCATATTACAACTCTGTTACAATGAGGGGAAGAGTTAAAATTTGAGTTTAATCATCTCCAAGAGTTTTAATCATTGAAATGTGTTGAAAATATTGACTTCAGATGAAAATAAAAACACCGTACAACTGCTAATTTTTAACGAGCGAGCTAAGCTGATGGTATCATCGTTGATTAAATTCTTTTTTGACCTTTATGGCAGGTAGCACAGGTAAGTTGTCTTGAGTATTGCTTTCAATATTGGGTTCGGCTTTAACTGAAACGTTTCCTCCACTATCGTCTTTGGAATCCTCATTGCTGCTACCTTTATCGCGGCCTCCACTGCTGCCCTTAGCGCTATCATTACCGGTCCCCTTGCCGTTTCTTTTACCTCCACTACCGCCTTGAGCACTACCTCCAGCATATTTATCTCCACCACTGGCTTTGGAACTATATCTGCTGGTGCATTTCTCACTTCTGCTTCTGGCACTGCTTTCACTGCTACCTCGAGGGTTGTCTTTACCAGCGCTTTTAACGTTGCTTCCTCTATCGCCTACATTTCTTCCATAGCTGCCTACAATGTTCCCTCCGACATTGCCTCCATAGTAGCCTGGAACATTACCTCCACGACCACCTCCAGGGTTGCCCCCAAAGTTTCCCCAAGGGTGGTAATTTCCAAAATTTTCTCTAACGTTACCCATGACGTTGCCTCCGAAGTTTTCAACAACGCGGCCGACAGCGTTACCTCCGAACGTCTTAGCTTTCCATGCCTTTTTCTTTTTCCCAGCATTGGTCTTTCTTTTTCTTTTTACTGCGAAAAAAGAATATTACAATCAATTGGCCATGAAAAGTAAATTAAAAAAAAAAAAAACAAAACAAAAAACTTGTGCAAGGCTTCGTAAATTTTTGTGTGTGATGTGTTGGTGGATGGTTGGCTTTTGAAATTTTTGGAAGAAAAATGAAATGTAAATAGATGTTTGTCAAATACTCAAGAAAATTTACAATCACGTGAAATAAAATAAAAGTACAGTTATCAAATTGCGGTAAATAATCCTCGTTACATCTGTACTCATCAAATTGTCCAAATACCGTTTCCACTTTATCGGTACATATGGGGAGGAGAAGGGGGGGGTGGATTATTTTGCGGGTAAAATAAAAAAGTACACCAAAAAAAAAGCCCAATACAGCACCTCTCCCATCCGAGATAAAACGTTACGTAACTTCGTAACTTTTCTTTCCCGTGCGCAATCACGTGTGTCCTATACCCATCCCATCTCCTTTACATCTCCAACGCTTCCCCCTTCCCCCCTCGAACCTCTTTTACTCTCTTCTTTCTGCACCTACACGCGCGCGCGTGTGTGTGTGTACTCACGAGAAGGCGCTTCCTCTTTCATGCCAATCGCGATGACTGCCAATATCGCGTCCCCGGAGACAGAAAGATAAAAAGGAACGGAGGGTGAACGGCACCGAAAGTTGTAGATACGCTTCAATATAAATCAACGTCCCCTACCATCTTCGGAAAAAAAGGGACTTTTAACAAAGTTGACAACTCGCGGTAAACACTCTGTTTGCTTCCTTCTTTGTTCCTTTTCCGAAAATTCGAAAAAGCTCGGCCGCGCGCGCTTCCTCGTCACGAATCCAAAGTTCGCGTCATCTACACACAATGCGCTTGTTGACTCGGAAACTCCCCCCCGTTTCTCGTTCCGTTTGAGCCAGCATGCTTGCATTGGACTGACACTTTTTTTCTCTTCGCCCTCGAGTTGGGTGTTGCGTTCCGATAGGGCAGAGGTCTTTGTCCGAATGCTAACGAGAAAAACTAGCGACGCGGGCTTTTACTGTGGGATCGTGGGTTTTGTTGTTTGGACAGTTTTTTTTTTTTTTTTTTTTTTTTTTTTTTTTATGTGGGTCGGCGCGCACGTGATTTTGGGGGAGCACGTTGTTTGTAGATGTTTTTTCGATTTGTCGAGATTAGCTACGGTTCACAAAAACATACCGAGGAATGCCTGGAACTAACACAAAACTTTTATGGGCCATCACGTCTTTGGGATTAAGGTTTTTTCTTGTTTTTCTACATGTAATTTCGGGGATGAGAATGACATTTGTCAACATGCGGTAGGCTAAGGATTGACACTCGCTCTAGCTTTTTACATTTTTTGGACGAAACTGCGGTACAATGATTCTAGAATCGGTTTTTGCAAACAGGAAAAAATAAAATGAAACTTTGGCATTTCACTGAAAAATCGTAGAGCTTTCGGAACAAAAAAAAAAATTTCTCGTATTCATGTAAATTCGTGGAAATGAAAAATTGTCTTTCCAAAGCTGAGCCTCGAAAAAATTTGTCAGTTTACTGAATAATCGTGTGAACATATCACGGGAAGGATAAATCGTTTTTTTTCACTCGAGGCTTGTCAGAGTCATCAACTCGACATTGTTGCTCTTTACACTACGAAAATAAACTACCACCAAAAATCTTAAAAGTTCGCGTAATTCAAACTGCGGCTATAATATTAACGCAATATTTGTTCTTGAGTCTCGGGTTTAAACTTGGCCGTAAATTTCTAGAAATCCAGCCCCTCCGCCCTTTTTTCCGCAGAAACGTAGAAACCAGAAGAAACGCGAGACCTTGTAAGTTTCAATCTAAGAAAAATTGTGCTCCTCCCCCGCGCGTAAAGTACGAAAAATTCATACTCCCTAAAAAAGTGCGGAGGAAGAAATTTTTTCCGCCCCTCGGAATATATATTGCGCATAAATAACGTTGTTAAGCTCGCGTACCTGCTTTTTTGCTCCGGAAAAAAAAAAAAATTTATAAATAAAGAATCCGAATCCCGTGCCATCTTTGGAAACATTAGAATACACGCGTCAAAGCTTGTGTGAAAAATTACGCTCGAGTACAAAAAAATTTAATCAAAATCGTAATTCATTCGAGCAGAGATAATAAAATTTCTTGCCAAACTTTTATGCTGGGCAGGTAATTGTCTACCCCCTAATAAGAGACCTTATCTAGAGAATTTTTTTTTTTTAAACAACGAACACGACGGGGCTCTACTAAAAAGAAGTTCATTATTTTACCCATAAAAAATATAGGTATGTATGCATTGAAGCAAAAGACCGGAATTGATGAACAATTGTACGGAAAATATAATAATCACATTGTTTTACTGTAAGCGCGCCAGAGACGCTTCATTATCGATCGATCATTAGGAGAAGTATAATTTGTCAGAGCACAGGTTTCCTTTATTTGGACCCTTTTACACCACTTCTCTTTGTTGAAGTATTCAATGGTTCAGAAAGAATTCACGGCTGATTAATTTGGCGTTTTTTTTTTTTTTTTTTTTTGAGGAAATCGTTACGATATAAAAAAGTTTGAATTACATTTTTTTTCCAAGGTAGATCAAGAATTCGGAGGGATGGATATTTTAAAATTACATTATTTTAATTACATAAATATAGAAATCTTCGTTATATAATTAAAACAGTGCAACTATAATTTTTTTTCTTTTATGTGGAAATACTTAATTACCAGAATAGTCAGAAATTTCAAGTGATTGTATATGTACTAGATGGTAAAATCATTGACCTCTTGAAAACATGTCAAAAACGTGTAGGAAATATTATTGTATTTCCATTCTTCTTCTTACACACTTCATTGACTTCTTTTATTAGTGTTTGTGTGTGTTGGCTTCCTTGAATTTTCCTAAAAAATATATTTTTAGTTATTAAATGGCTAAATGAGGAAGTTTCATTAACTTGCACAAAAAATATTATATCAGTGAAAAAATAATAAATTTTTTTTTTTTTTTATTTATTTAAGCAATTTTAATCTCTAATCGAGATTATTTTGCTAAATAATAAATTTAATTTGAGATGTCAAAAAATCTTATGGAAGTTTAGAAGCATACCTTGGTGGGTAGAATGCTGACACACGATCGCCAAATTGAGATACAAATTGTTAAATGCTTCTTGATGTAATTGGAAAAAAATGTATCTTTTATTCTATCCCGTCATATGATTGTGCCAGAGGTTCCTTTAAGAGTTTTTTTTCCTTATGCACGAGATGCCCTGTTAATTCTATATGTTTCGGGTATACACAGACAGTATAGGTGAGAGGGGCCCATGAAAACCATAGAGTAGATGTGAGGGATGAGGTTATAAATATAACGTAGGAGTACTTGCCAAAAACATATATTTAACAACAAAAAAATACCGGATAAACGTGCATACATAGTTCCAAAACAGAAAAGTTTCGACTACAAAAAATTCAAATGAGATCACATGAGATATTATTGTTTAAAACATTTAATCCGTGATATCATCTCTTATTCCTAAATTTTTCACTATCTAATTAATACAAAATTACAAAAACGAATCAAAAACTAACATATAACGACAAAATACAATTTTTCTGTTATTATAATTTATTATACCGTGTATTTAATGAAATTTTATTTTGATTTCGTTTCTTTTTTATAATACTATATTTTTATAATTAGGGATTTTTTCATGAAAGTGTTACACTTTTTACAGAAATACCAATAATAATCTTCTGAAGCTGAAAAACCAACCAACAGTTAGTATGAAAAATTTGATAAAACTATTATGGTCATCATAAAAGAAAAAAAGTAAAGGCTTACAGAATTTTTCTCTTGCTTGACTATAAAAGTAACTTTCTGCGATTTCCATTATTTACTCTTTTTGTTTGTTGCGATCGAATGGCCCTGAAAAAGATGTATGATTATTAAGCAATTTTAACTAGAGTGTCAGTAGATGAAATCTTAATAAATGGATCATATTATTCGCTTATTCAGGTTTAACAATACTTTATTGAGCAAATGATTCCAGGTACAGTCTAAATAACGCTAATACATAGTTATTTGTGTAGTTCAAATTAGTTTAGTTAATATTCGTCATTAAAATCAAAATATTATTCTTGTAATACAATAAAGAAGGTAAATTGGCTTCTAATGCCAATTAGTACACTGAAAACATTAAATAATTTTCTCGAGCAATACAGAAATTGATAATGAAAAAGGAATAATTTTAATTTAAAGTAATAAAACTGTTTGTTTAGAATAAAATTAAAAAAAAAAGAATAATGTTTGCATTGAAAATCTCGTAAAACACTTGTTAGCCACTTTTGTCGTCCGGATTCTCCTGTTGATTGTTTTGTTTATTTTCAGCATTTTTTTCTTGCTCTCTTCGCATCCTCTCGGTATGTAAAATCCACAAGAACGTCTGACGCTCTTCTTCTTCATATTTGATGTGACCTTTCAAATGCTGGTACATAGTCATGTACGTTTTATAATCGCCTTTGCATATCGTGCACATATAACGAAGCCTCTCCCCACAATCGTCGCAATGAGTCGGAATAGGCTTGCTGCGAAAGCTTCTTTCTACTTTCGAATTGCAAAATTTACAGATCAATATAAACTTGCCTTTTGAAGCTGAAATGGACAACACAAGATGATGAAAAATCAAAATTTTTTACAGCACAAGACAAAAACTGAGAACCTACAAAATTTGTTTCTTGACTCTCGGTAAAATTTCACCTGTCTTTCCTTGACTCGCCTGGATCTAGCTCGATCGATCTCGTATTGCCTCTGTTCCTCGGTCATCGGCACTTTAACTCTCGATTGTTTTGGCTTTTCTTCTTTCTCCTCTTGCTTTTCAGTCGTCACCTCCACAATCGGTTCCAAATAATTTTGTAGTTCTCCCCTTTGCTCCTCAGTCACCATTACCTCTTCGCCTATTTTATACTCCTCCAGCACTTTGTTTGGACCTTCAGCCATCGGTTCTTCCACTTGTAACTCTTGCACCTCTGGATCTTCAGCCATAGGTTCCTCCTCTACTTTTATTTCTGGCTCCGTTGGCTGGTCAGTCGCCTTCCTCAGCTTTTTTATTTCCCCTCGAGTCAGTACCACCATCACTTCCAGGTTGAGCTTTTCTTCCATTTCCAGCTTTGACCTCTGCCTAGTTTTCGGCTTCCACGCGAGATTCAGGCATTTCCTCTTTTTACGCAACCTAGTTCCCCTCGCTGTGTAAAAAAAAAAAATTGCGTTGAATAAGTTTTACCAAACTTCCCCTCGGATAATCTTACGATTTTACGTATCAAGGTATCTTATCTACAACAGAACCAAAAGAAGAAGAAGAAGAAGAAGAAGAAGAAGAAGAAGAAGAAAAAGAAGAAGCAAAAGCGTGTTATCGACAGTTTCAGACAAGCCAAATCACCCGATAAGGTGGCAAGCACACGAAGCACACACTGAGAAAAGTAGTGTTAAAAAAAGTATTATAACTGTACTAAAAATTACTATATTTTTAGCAAAGCTAAGCTATGCTCACCTGATGACGCAAAATTATTACGTTTAAAATAATTTTGATTATATTTTAAGTAATTTTTATCATGCAGTAGCCCTACAAAAATTATTTCACGGCATGATAAAAATTACTATGTCTAACATGGTAAAAATTGTGACAGTACAATTTTTGCGACACGACATAATCAATTTTATTTTAATCATTTTAAAACGTACCACATTCTAAAGTAGAATTTGCTATGTGACATAGTAAAATTTCTCATTCCACTGCATTGCTATTTAGTATAGTAAAAATTACTATGTTTGAAAGTAATTTCGTAAGAAGTGTATAAGTATGTACGCCTATTGAGTTTCAAATTTGAGGTTATACGAATGTAAACATTAAGAGAAACATACTATTTGATTTATCAGGGTTAAAAGTTGATACGTGCCGACATTAATTTTGAATCCACTAACTATCCGTTGTTAATACCGTGGTCCACAGAAAACCTTTTGATTTTTTAACTTTATTGTGTGTATGATAAACAGTAAACGTTCCCACATGTACTCTATTCACACTCGCATGGACATCATGTCCCGTGGTCTAGTGGTTGCGGAGCCTGACTCGGAAGCTCAAGGATGAAGGNAAATATATTTATATGCATTGACATCTGTGTATAGTATTCTTCTGATAAAAATATATATATTCACTGGGCATTCTCTATAATTCATTTTTCTTCTCTTACTTGAATATAAAAATTCTTTCCGAGTTAAGTAACTATGTCGAAATAACAAATTATTAGTATAATCTGGTTTTACTATGTACCATAGTAATGTCCACAATATGGCGAGTACGTCTCAGCTTCCCTATAAAATATAGTAATTTTTATTATAGTTGTAACACTTTTTCTAACACCACTTCTCTCAATGCAGAAAGTAACAGTGTAATCCCAAAAGTAGCAAGCACCGAAGAACCTGGCGATGGTAATTTCAGTGGGAAAAAAAAAAAAAAAAAAACAGCATCGTGACCCACGCACTTGTTTCATCCCCGGAAGGAAGAAAAGTCGTCGTTCGACGCATTAATCATGCCTCGGTGGTCGTGCGCCCAAATATCCCGTGAAAACCCTATAAATTAAACTTAAAGGCAACACCCGTAGGAGCTAGTGTTTCCAGGAAGGGGGAAGCACCGAGGGAATCCAGATAAAAATAAATCACCCTCGAAATCGAGAACTATACACCTAATATACCGAAGCCGCGCGCGTATACACACGCTCGACGGCCCGGAGTCATCAGAGCTCTTCTCGTCACGTATTTATGGGGCGGCGGGGGTGTGTGTATATATACATGTAGGTACGCGAGCACAATGCCACCGCAAGGGCGATAAATCAAAAGCGTCCGGGAGTCAAGACAGAGCGCGCAAGCACGTATACTGCAGCTTCGTCAAATCCTCCCTCGCATCTTCTACACGATGGCAAGGGGGGGGGGGGTTCGGTTAACGAGCGAGCGGTGCAGCTCTTTGGGTGGTAGTGGCACTTAATTGAGACATAATTCGGCCATTAAGGATGGGACGTCAAGTTTGCGCGGGACGACGTTAACGATATATAATATAACAAGGAGTCCTGTCTCTTTGTTTTGTCTGGCTGCCGATGCTTGGCTTCAGTCCTCAAAAGCGATGGGAGAGGAAATGACGAGATGCGTTTATCTTCTCTCTCTCGCCATGTCAGGGGAAAGAAGGAGGTAACTCGATATAGGTCCCGGTATGGTTTTTAGCCGCTGTTTGGCTGCGTCTTAGTGTACACGGATCTATGGTTTACGCTAGTTGCGCCCAAGAATTATGTACGAGATATTGAAAAAAAATTTATATTTTTTTTATACAATTTGATATTTTGACAGTAGGTAGAATGATTTTTTTTTTTATTTGGTTGGTTTTCTTCTCCAATGAATAAGCTAAAAAATTTACAAGTATTTTTTTCGATGGCTACGTTGTGAGGGATATATTTGTTTTGATTTTTTTTTTTTTTTTTTCATTTTTATAAACATAAACATATTTAACAATACAAAAGACTTGTACCATCAAAGCTGGGAAAAATGTAGATCATGAGAAATGTGAGTGATGTAGATGATATGAATTGATAGGGAAAATTAAAATTAATTTAATTTTACCACAAGAATAAAAGATGACTAAACTTTTTTTAACCGTTCCATTCATTGTAATTATGTGAAGAAACCACAAATTCGAAATCAACATTCGCTCATTGAACCAAATTATAATTAAGAAAATTTGAATTTTTACTAAAAAATGCAGTAAACTTTGTTGTTTGCAACCATTCTGCAATTAAAATCATGAAAGGAGCAGTTTGATTGTACGGCTCGTTAAACTTCATGGAATGCGTGGGGAGAGAGAGTCAATAAAAGTTATAAAATTTCAAGGGTTCTCGTGAAACCGGGGAGCGGACGACGTAATTCGTGTAATCAATTTGATCCTTTGACTCCTTAATGTGAACCGTGTCAGAGTGGCCATTTATTGCATTTGATTTACGAGACGATATATTGCGGGTCACGCTGCTGTACTGGCCGTAGGGGCTATTGAATTTGTGAATTGTTGCTGGATACACGTACAATTCTGAAACTTTGAATTCGTATTAGCGTTACTTGCGTACGGCATTAAATGTAGAGGGAAGTTTACAAAATTGATACTTTTTCTTTTCTCGTTTAATACATTACTTTTATATTTAAAACAGAATAAATTTTTTTTTTTTTTTTTTGGACAATAATGAAGAAATCTTCCGACGGTTGCACGACACAAAGCTAAGCTTATTACGAGAAGCTTTGCAGCAACCTTTTTGAGAAAGGGTACTCTTTTAAACATGGCTTTGTTGATCGCAATTTTTGAGGCTTTATTTATTAAATATTTTAGAGACAAAGTATGCCAAATGAGGAAAACAATTTTTTTTAAATATATTTTATCAAAGAGTCGTTTCAGTCAAAAAATTCTTTATTTTTAAATTACAAATTTCAAAGCACGAAAACAAGTTAATCTTTAATTTAACACCAAATGACAATAATACATCAAGTCTTTACATTTATTTTTTGGTACATCAAAATAATTTTTTTGGAAAAAAGTTTTTAGTTCTCTGAGATCTTTAATCAAAATTATAAGCTAATCAAAAACAATACATATATAAACTTTTTATAATTTCTTTTGGCATTGATAGTTGCTAGACACACAAAAAAGTATTAAAAAAAAATAATTTTTTTTTCATTGTCAAATTACAATGAATCCTCGAGATAATCTAAACATTTATTTGTTCGTTAAACGATTCTATCAAATCATCAAAATACTTTACTTTATTCTTTGATTATTTTATCAAACTATTAAATACTTTAATAACGGATACGTGCATGCATCACTGCGAATGAATTTTCAAGTGTTGAGTACACGAGCCCAGGGTCTTGTACGAATTGCCACAGTGTTTGCACATGTAACGAAAATTTTGCTTGCACAAGAAACACACCGTTACGTTCAGGCCGCGAATTTTTTCATTGGCATCGTGACAATTCGGACAGTACAGAAGAACTTGACCTTGGCTACCTGTAATCGTAACGTACATTGGTCATCAGTGAAGGATTAAAATTAATTTGCTCAATCGGCAGAAATTTCTGGACAACTTACTTATTCTCTTCTTTTTTCTAACTTTTTTCCCAAAAACCTCTGGCTGGTTTTCCTTTGATTCCGATTTTTGGGTCTCATCGATTGGCAAAGATTCTTCCATCACCGGTTTGTTGAATGGATTTTCCGGCACTGGCGCCACAGTTACGAATGTATTGAAGTTCATCAATGTTTTAAACAAGCCATTCATGGTTTCCGCCATCCCTGCCTTTGGTTTCGATGCGGCCGACAAGTCGATGGGATTTGCCATAGTTGAGTTTATCACCAGATTATTCTGCACCATGTGTTGGGTCCTGGGCATCAATTCAACAGGTTTTACAATTAAGTAATGTTGGAAGGACGTTTGTTTCATAGGTTCTTCTACTGGCATGATCAAGGGGCCGTTGTCAGACGTTACTGTTTCAGAAGTTCTTTGGACAGACAGATGGCCATTAATTTTTTCAAAAAGCTTGGGCGGAAAGCTCATCCACTGCTTTTTCTCAACAACTTTCACGGCAACTGAAAAAAGTAAAGTTTCAACATATGTTAATCCACCGATCGGAAAAAAAAAATCAAAGACGCTAAAAGTAAGAAAAATTAGACGCAAAAAATTAAATGGCATCGGAGGAGATAAAAATGAAAATTTCAGGGAACGACTAGGGGGAGATAAATAATTGTTGAGACCAATAAAACGTTGCAATTTTATGTACAAAACACTACTTTTAAGATAAAAGCATTTATTCTTTATAATCATTACAAAATCCGACGACGTAACGTGTGTATACACACAAGTTGAAACTTCCTGGTGAACTTTATAGCTGCACTCTAATCACGTGGACCTGCAAAAAACATAATCTCATGAAGAAAAAAAAAACGAAAAAAACAAAAAGTACCCTAATACAACACTCGAAATGCCGATAGTCGGGAGAGTTTCGACTCCCCGAGGGCAATTGAAAATTCATCGGCAGAATCGAATGTGTATATATATAATACATGAACAATAAAGCGACTCCCTTGCTCCAAGTGCGCCCTTTGCCCGCGAGCTTGGTCTCATCGCTCGCACACAATACACTCGGCGCCAAAGCCGCCAAAGCGTCCCAAAGCTATTAAACCATTCGAGAGGAAACTCCTCTCTCGGTTAAAAGCGAATTTCCACGTTTTCCCCACCCCGTCCACTAACCAACTAGTCCCACCGAAAACCCACGCGATGGGGGGGGGGGAAGAGCAGCTCAGCTCGGATTTTCCTCCGCTCTATTTTCTAACGTTTAATTTGCGTAAATCCCTGCTTCCTCTGGGACACACAAGCCGCGCGCGCTCAAGCGTAAATGTATACACACGAGCGCGGACGTGTGCTATGCGCGGAATGTTAACATTGGCCGTTCTCCGTGTGATTCCAGGTGAACGACCCGGAGAGTCCAACGGCACAACAGCAGCAGCAGAGAGGCACTGGTGTCCCCGATGATGCTGCCAGAAGGAGCTCATGGTGAGTGTGTGTTTGCGAGGTCCTTCTCCACTTTTTCGTACTCTTCGGTCTTTGGAAAAAAAAAAAAAAAAAAAAAAAAAAAAGTTTTACAAGCAGCGCTACTGCCCTGGACGGTACACTCGGACTTTTCTGCCCCCCCGAAAAACTCTTTATTCGCGCTCTTCTTTTCGTCGCGTTTTGTGTCGTGTTTTATTTTTTTTTTTTTTTCATCGCGAAAAGGGTTGAAAGTTGGCGGGCACTTGCGTGCAGAGACGCTTCTGGGCGTTTCACCCTTGCACCTGTTTACGAAACTTTTATCCTTCGGCTCCTTTGTGTTTTCTCCGCTTCTTTTCGTTTTTTTACACCTTCAACTTTTCGGAAATGCTTTTCATTTTGTAATCACGCGACGTCTGTAGGTGATGAAAATTCCGTGCCACGAGTGTACAAAGCGTGTAATTGATGATACGTCACGGTAGCTGAGGAATAAAAAAGGGGACAACATGTCATTCGACGGGGAGGAGAGGGGGGAAAAAAGGTCATACATCTACGTGTACGCATGAGCGAGAACTTTTCAATGACTTCCAGCGTGAAATCCAAAAGTTGCCGGAGACGCCAACGAGACGTCTCCTCAACTCTGCCAACCCACCCTCTCGACATTGATGGATCTATACTTTACGGACGGGTTTTTCCTCGATGCGTTCGCACTTCCTTCCTTGGTACAAAAGTTAAATTTAATTTCGCGGCTAAAAAGAGAAAGGGGGGAAAAAAAGAGGAGGGAAGGGGAGGAGAGTGGCCACAATATAACGCTTCAACTTTTGTCAAGCACAATGGAGGGATGAAAGCCGCACTTTTGCACGCCGAGTTTCCAAAAGGGTAGCAGGGGGAGGCGAGGGCGTGTATGAATTTCAAAGGCTCGGAGATTAATTTACCGTTTAATATTGCACATTAAAACAAAATACAAAAAAAAAAACTAAAGTTCTCGCTCGTAAATAATGCCCCGATGCCTGTGCATATACCGACTCGAGGGCGAGTTTTCGAATTCATTATCGTAAATAACGCTGCGTGGGCTCTTACACGAGCGGCTCACTGTTAACCACTCGCCGGTCCATAAATTCATTTTCAAACGACGGCCTTGTGATTTAACATTTGGGTGGAGCGAACACAAATAATAAAAAAACAAAAAAAAATCCATCCATCTCTCTCTTGTTCTTCTTCATCTTTTCTTCCCAAGAGGGCACACACAAGTCCTCTGTAAATCATTGAAAGAAGGTGTCTAAGAAAAAAAAAAAAAAAAAAAAAAAGAAATGAGGTCAAAGGCATCAAGAACGAATTTACAGAGCCGTACACGCAAGGGACCCCCCTCGCACGCGCTCCATTGATGTACAGACGCGTGGCACAAATCACCTCGACCCTCCCTGACATCGAAACGTGTACGTGGGCCGGGGGAGAAAAAAGAAACACGAGCACAACCTTCCCGTGCGAATAACGAGTCTCTCGCGATGTCGTGTTGTTTAGACAGTAGGAGAGAGAGAGAGAGAGAGAGAGAGAGAAGCAACAACAACTGCTATAATGGTAATATCATGTACACTAACAACAGGCAACAGCAGTACAGCGAGCAATGGGACGAGAAGAAGGCGAGGGCCAAGGAAACGAGGCTAATAATCATCGTGGGCCTGCTCGCGGTCGCTGTGATTGCCCTAGTCGTGACGCTCACCCTCCAAATGGCTGTTTTCGGCAGACAGTCCGAGTACAAGGAGATGTGCCAGAGCGAGGACTGCATCAGGACGGGTAATTTTGTTCGCTTGGCCATTACTTAGCGGATCCTTTTTTTTTTTTTTTTTTTTCCTCTCTTTTTTCGCGAACCAAAGGTAGAGAGCAACGCGTCACGGAATCGCGTGGCTGGAATTTTTTGAACGAAACAACCCGAGTGCACAATAAACTCTCGTTAGCGAGTACTTAATGGAAAAAAAAAAAAAAAACCCAACTTCAGTGTTTAATATGGTAATATTAACGTGCCACACGAGCTCTCGAAGCGTATAGGGAGGGAAAAAAAAAAAAACTACAATTTCATTAAAATTATTTGAAAATGAAAATGTCGATTGTACCGAGCAACGAAAACACGCGACGCCTTTGAATTTGACAGCGGCGCGCGTGATGAACGGACTGAACCGCAGCGTCGAGCCGTGCCAGGACTTTTACAAGTTCGCCTGCGGCGGCTGGATAGCCAAGAACCCGATACCCCAGAATCAAATATCCTGGGACCAGCTGAACTTGCTGAGAGAGGAGCTTGTCAAGAATCTGAGGATACTCCTCGAGGAGCCTGACCGCGACGACGAGCCCAAAGCCGTGGGCAAGGCCAGGTCCTTTTACCGCACTTGCATGGATACCGGTGAGTTTCATTCGAGATCTTTTTTTTTTTTCATTTCAAGATGAATAGAAACATCTTGGTGTGGGAAAAAAAAAAATAAAAAAAAAAAACATCATCTCCCAGAACACATATGCAATTAACACGCGAAATCACTCGTACACGACGAGCAATTAATTAAAGCAAAGGTGAATTACACCGAGGGCCGATTAGTGGAGCCAATAGCCGGGGACCGACGCAAAGGCCGATTCCCGACCCCGCGCCCGTGTCAATCTCGACTATACTTTGCGGCAAACAATTTAGCGCAGTGTTTGACTAGACTTAATTAGTTTGCACTCCGGGATTTAATTATTCCCGGGGCCTTTGATGCGTCGTGCGGTGCACACTATGCGGTGTCGGCGCGGTACGTAACTCGGGCGCCCCGGCTGCTCGACGCTGCTCATGCCTCGATCGGAGAGATTCATCGACGCTCGGGCCAACAGTCAATAATACGCGCTTCGTTTCCCACTTGACGTTGATTTTTCCTGTTTACGCGGGTGGACGTTGGGATACGTTACGATAAATGATCGATTAACTCGATTCGGGATTTTTTTTTTCTTTTTCGACTCAAAGTTTGTTTCGACGATACGAGAAGGTTCTTTTTTTTTTTTTTTTTTTTCTTGTCGTTTGATGATATTAGGTACGATTACTTTAACGGGAAAAGTTTACTATTTAGGTTAAGCTCATTTTACCATGTACCTGTATATAAATGTACGATGGTATCATTACCCACATCCTATCCAAGTAGAGAACCTTCCAGGTGTGGACCACTAATGAAATATTGTTTCAAAATCAACACAAACTATCGGAACATATCGAACGATTTCTTTGCTTTTTTTTTTAGCATATGATGCAAATATTGAAGAAAAAAATTTTTTTTGCAAATAGTTTAAATGTAAACAACAAAGGTTAAATATGAAAATACGCATTTTACCATAATTTTAAAGATCACGGAAAGTTCCGTAGCTCTCAACGAATTTACGTAATATCAACCTAGTGGGTATATGTACAACGGAGGTGTAAAGACAAGCGCTAAAAGTTTGTTCGACGTTACATTTTAATCGCCACGACTTTGTACGGCAAAGGGGCGTTAGTGTACCACACCTGAAAAGCTTTCCAACTAAGTACAAGGAAAAGAAAGAAAGAAAGAAAACCCCCTGCTATGCATTTTTTTGTATATTCATGCTCGGGTGCTTCATTAAGTTCAAGAGGCAGAGTTACACAACCTTCACTCGAGCGCAAGTTAACGATATACAAGATACAATATTTGCGTTGTAAATAGTACACGAGCTTCCACGAGTCCTTTTCCATTTTACCATACAGCAGGAGCATAAGTAGCAGCAGTACAGCGTCGCTCTTGGACGCAGCTCTTTGCCTCCTTAAATATTTACGGTGTTTAGATTTGAATTTATTTTAGCTCGCCTCGGCCGGATGTTTGTCTTTTTTGCCCAATACATACAACGCTTTCTAGGGACCATTTTTTTTTTTTTTTTTTTTTTTTTCTTCATTTCTAACTCATGCTGCGAAATAAAATTTTTAAAACCCCGAGAGCACCCGACTTTGTTTATCGAGACTGAAAATTTATTCGCCACCTACGACGCGTCTCTTGTTTTATTTCTAGAAACACCACTAAGGTGGTCGTAAAACTGCAATGCGTAGAGGGAGGAAGTACTGGGTATTTTATCTCGGCAGAATAAAAGAAAAAAAAAGGAGTCGTCGTAAAACACGTTGGAAGAGCTGTTGCATGGGAAAGAAAAAGAAAAAAAGAAAAGGATAAATTACGAAGTGACACTTGGCGGTGATTTGAAAAAGCAAAACATAAACGAACAAAACGAGTCACGAGAACGGCTCGGTCGCGCCGTCAAACACGTAATCGCTGCGGGTCGTATTGTTAATTAGATGTGGAGATATAGTTGCGAGGTAACGCAGTAACGATTTAATTACGAGGATTCCGATGTACATTTAGCTTTTAGATGCCGCGAGACAAGGGGGGGGGGGGAAGGAAACTATAATTGCACCGATGTTTTGTGATCAATTGGCAAGGGTTTAAAAAAATACCGATACGAAAGGTATGTATCGTGTCATTGGGAATACATGAAAAATCTTGTCGATGATACAACAACAGTCGGTAGATCGAATCTGAAACGTGACGCCGATTTACAAAGTAGTCACGTGCGCGGGATAAATCAGCTGGTAAGATGAAAAAAATAAGAAAATAGTAAAATTAAAATTAGCAAATTACGCTTGCATTTTTAAGTTATTATCTTGAAAAAAAAAAAAAAAAAATGTATCACGGTGCAAAGACGATTTGATGATCTTCTTCAAGTTATCACGTACGAGTCAATCTCTACTAAAAAACAAGAAGTGGAAGAAACCAAAGATAAAAACTCTCTAGACTTAAAATCCCATCTCTAATTGGTAGTCATTGCTTGGGTCTGGCTTGATCGAGTTTGCTCCGTCAAATACCGTACCCTGTAATTTTGTCCTAGAAAAAGATGTAATAAAAAAAGTTTTGACACGAGTAATTCAAGTTCTTATCCGATATAACTGCGTGATCTAATTTTAGTTGCAACTTGGTTCAGAATAAAGTACTTAGTAACAAACTCAAAAAACCATTAATTTTGACCAACATTATTAGCTCTACCGGAGCTGTGTATTTAAACGTTACCAGTATTTTAAACACATCTTTTTATAAGACACAAGTACAAAATATACCGTAAAGATCAGAATCAGACAAAACCTCTGTACCTAATGATCCTACATCAGAGAGATAAGGAAAAACCTCACCACCTCCAAACGGAGCGTCATCTCTCTTCGGAAACGCCCCTCTAAAAACATCTTACCCCCTCCCCCCGTAAATCCATCCCCGTCGCTCCGACACTTCCTTCCCCCTCATCCGGCACCCCGTCAACGTCTCGCAATCAGCCTACCTGAATTAATAATCACCAATCTCCGTCGCCTCCCCGAATTCGATCGCGCGCCTAAAGCAATCACGTCCTACTCCACCTTATCTCCTCCCTCTGGAGAGGGAAAAAAAAAAACAAAAAAAAACAAAAAAAAACAAAGCAACCCCTCTGCCTGTCTTTCGAAGGCGATCCGACAATATCGCGATCCGCATACGAGAGCAGCGCAAATAAGTCAGTATATAAGGGAAGGAAGGAATCGACCTCCAGCCCCCAAAATGTGGGTATAAAAGAACACGTGTACGTGGATTTGCAGCGAGCGCCGAGGCTATGGGTCTGACGCCGGTCTTCGAGAGCATGGCTAGGCTGGGTTTGCCCCGGGAGATCCCCTTGGAGGACAAGGACACGTTCGAGTTCGACCTCGCTTGGCTGGCCGGTGCAAGTCACCGGCAACTCGGCATCAACGTCATGCTCAGCTTCTACATCAGCGAGGACGTCAGGAACACTTCGCGCAACCGCATGATGGTAAAAACACAAATGAACCAAAGATCAAGGCATCCGTATATATAAATTGTGCATGTACATTATTACACGCGGGCATTACAAGCGATCAGCTGCGAGGCAGTGCCCGTGTCAATAGTTAAAAGCCGGCTATGCCAAAGTCGAGCCTATCCCGGGGGAATCGCTCATAAAGTTTCCGTGTACACCGCGAACGTAATCCGTAAAACCAACAGCCGGTCCCCGCACATGCGACGCAATACACGTGTGTACCCTTGGTCTCTGGTGTCACACGAACGACCCCATACCGCCCGGCCGACGAGTTTTATGCCCATGGACGTGTGTGCAGCCCGAACCCAAAGGCCGACGAAATGGGGGAATCCCCGCGCGGAGGGGGAGTACCGGAGTTTCGTATAATGGAGACCCGGAATTTTTTACACACTTTTTTTATATTATTTATATTTTTATATATTATTTTATATTATTGCGGATTTTTGAAAATGTACGGGGTTGTTATTAAGTATTAGGTGTACAATGACTCCGCGATTTTTCTTTTTTTCGGTACAAGTTACGCCGTGTCGCCGTATCGTCGGTTAATCCTCGTGATCGAGCTATCGGTGCTCGAGGCGTTTATGGCCTCTGCATTTTTCTTTTCACGGGAATATATATGTATATATATACATACACACACGCATAGGTTTGGGTATACGAGACTAGAGGCGAAGTTTACGGCATAGCCCGAAGTTGATAAGGGGATTTCCTTCGTCGCGATGTACGTATGCAAAGGTGGAGGATTTGTGGTGTTACAAAAATGGGGGAAAAAACAAACAGTTAATAAACAAATAAATACAAGCATTTGGCTTCGAAACATGTAGTTTTTCCAGTGAAACGAATTGAAAAATTTTTAAAATAGCTAGGATTTTTTAATCCATTTGGAGGAACACGATAGTTCGATATGATAAAAGCACCTTCCTTTCCTCGCGTGTACTTTGAACATTCGTATGTACAAAATGGATGAAAAAAAAGCCTTTTCTTTTTCTCTGAAAAAAAAAAAAAAAAAAATCTTAGATGGAGCAGGTATTGACGGGCTTCCTGAGCGAGCGCTACTTGCTCGACCCTCAGCGCTTCCAGACGGAGATCGAGGAGTACAAGAAGTACATAAAGTCAATGGTCGAGCTGATCGGAGCCGGTGAACGCAGCGCCGACTTTGCCGAGGAGATACTCGAATTCAGTACCAAAATTGCAAAGGTGAGTCCATCTATTTATTAGTGCAAAGCCAAGGCACTACGGCTTTGTATTACGGCACACTCGTTGAGAAAGGCTGCACGAGCTGCTGCGTATATAATACAGTGCGCCGTCAGCTTACACTATACGAATCTACCGATATATTTTTATTAACTTTTTTTTCTCCCTCTCTCTCCCTGATGAGAAATGTGAAATAAAAAAATGTATCAATGATTGTCGGGAAGGAAAAGGATGATAATCCATCCTATTTTTTAGTAGGAAATAGATAATATCTTGTTTCTGAAGTGGGGAAAAAAAATCAACATGCCATTTTTCATTAAAAAAAAAAAAAAAGTGGATTCCCTGACTTCGATAAACTATTGCAATTTCGTTACCGCGTACATCGACAAGCGCGTTTAAAACGGCACGAATTAATTTGGATTAAGACTGCGCGCTCTAACGCATGCCGCACACTGGATAATACCGAAGCGCAATACGTCTCCATCGTCGTAATTTAGCTGAAAGTACCGAAACAGTCGCTGAATCCAATACCGATGATATACAGCGCGCGGGCGAATAAACATGTATACATTGATGGTTCAAAGTAGACCGAGAACGACAGCGGCGCCCGAGCGTTCGCCGATACGACTGAGCCATCGCAATTATCGAAAATCGCATTATTGAATAATCATTCGAGCGCGTCCTCTTTATTCCTCCCTCCCTCCCTCTCTCTCTCTGGCCACTCTGTCAAACGATTTTGTATTAGACTAATGCCGTTGGGCTTTCGTTTCCTCTCGTACCCGCTTGATTGAATTATCCCCCGGAACTTCTATTATCGCGTTATTCGATCGCCACAGAAATACGGATCCATACCAATTTTTATGTCATTTTTCAAACTTCCAATTTTTTATAAACGAAAGTAAATACATAAATGCATAAAAGAAGCTCTTTCGTGCATGAACTTTCAACTATAAAGCCAAAGCCTGGTGTATTTCGTGCGACGGGGGTGTACATTCTCATGTTTGTTTCAACTTGGCGTGCAGATCCTATCGACCCCCGAGGAGCGCAGAAGTGCCAACCATTTGTTTTACGACATCACCGTTCACGAGCTCCAACAGGCAACGGACATCGGTGCGGCTCAGGTAATAATACTTTTCTCTCTCGTTGTTTAAACCCCAACACTCGGCCACGCATGTCATTAACCACGACGACACCTGTACTTTGAGAGAGCAATTGTACACAAAATACACTTATTTTTTAAATTGTCGAATAAAAGAAAGTAAAAACTTACCCCTTTTGGGCATGTGGTTTCCGTGGAGCAGTGGAATTGGACGACGTACCTGGACAGCGCCTTCAACAACACGAATGTGACGATCGTACCGAGCGAGGACCGGGTGATTGTCATGGACCTGGACTATTTGCGGAAGCTGTCTCAGCTGCTTGACGTCACGCCCCGGCCGACATTGGGTACGTGTAACACAATTCCTGGGTACATGTATACATACAAATCTCCCCTGCGGCACGTCCTTTCCCTCCTTCGCCGCCAAGTTTTAAGTATCCAGAGGTAATGTAATTTCCGATGATGGGGGGACGGGGAACGTTTCGCGATTCTCCGTCGGATGCCCTGTAACTACGTTGGTTTGTTGTGTTAATGGTACATGTATGGGAAAGAGACGAGTTTGGCACTCGGGGATTACACAGTGTCGAGGATTGCCTTTCGTTGGCACGTAGTGTCCTTATAAGTGGTCGACAGTAGCGGAGCTGAAACATACGTTTTTTGGAATATTAGTGTGGTGCACACGATTCAAAGTTATTCATCATCAATACATTTTCATTTCAATGCCGATTTTCACGATAGGTTCAGGGGATTTCGTATCTTTATTTCGTAAAATTTACTATTTATATTTTCCAGGGTTTTTTTTTATACAGGATGTGAAATTCATACATGGAGTTTTACAATAAAAACATTTCCCTTTTTTTTTTTTTTTTTTTTTTTTTTTTTTTTGTCTTAATATTAAAATTTACAAAGACATAATCATAGTCTCATTGACAGCCAAATGTTTTATTTTGTTTACAATGAAACAGCGAGTAGAAAGAATGTAATTTGCGTGCAATACACGGCAAAAAGAGAAAAGATACAGTAACAGTCGGTGCGAGAACGATACCGTGGAATGTCAGGCAGTTCTTGAAACACTTATTGGCTCCCTCCTGCCCCGCGCACATATACCCAAAGCCTATTTCGTTCCAACACCCACAGCATTTACACGCACGCGCGTACACGCTGCCAGAACTATCGTCTCCAGATACGCAGACGACGTTTCGAGAGGAGTCAGGAACGCTCGCCTTTGTAATCGCATTTCGAGAGTGCAACGCTCTTTACGAGTATTACAAGCTGCGCGCGTTCGCGACTTTGCCCAAGAAAATACAGTCGAGGCATTACAGTTTCGGGCGGAGCAATACGCTGCCGGGGAAAGAGAGAGAGAAGGCACTTGTTATGCAGCGCACTCGAACACGCGTGTGAGAGTAGTTGAACCACTTGCATCTTTTCCCTCGATCGTCTTGAAATTGGAAGACTTTCCTTCGCTCCTTCCATTCTTTTTCTTTTTTCCCCTCTGATAGGAAATATCAAAAATTTCGTCCAAAAGAGAGAGTACAGGAAGACCGACTGGACTTTATAAGCTCAAGCTTGCACAGAACTGATGGTTCAGAGGCTGATTTTCAAGTGGCACAATGCTTGCTTGACTATCTGTCTGCCAGCCTTGAGAGCTCACGAGGCTTTTGTACGGCTTTCAAGCTGTTTCAAGTACCTCCAGTTGATGGGATCAGAAATTATTGGAAGAGCTGATAGTAGAACAATGAGGATTCACATTTTGTTCTTGAAAATGCTCCATTGAAATATGAGGCATTGCTGATTACTTTATCTAAAAAAAAAAAAAAATTTTCGTTGAAAATTAAATAACATATACATTAAGCAATTATGTGCTACGTGAAAACACAAACATACTCACGTAAGTTTACAATAGTGAATTGTATTAAAATTAACGTCATTGGATGGTCTACTCCTGTCAAGCTAACAGTTTGCTTAACTAATGGAGATATGGTAACTATTAAACCATACCAACTGTGCATCAATAGAATAATTAGTGTGCTGCATCTAGCTGTTATAAAGCTTTAATTAATCTCCCATTATTGTTTGGATGCTAAACATACAATCACATTTAGTGCATCAAATAGTTTCATATGCATGAGTTCTAATCATATTGCATACATTTCCTCATTCACGTTACAATTAGATTGGTCAATACTGCACCTGCAATAGAATATTGATTTTAGTTCTTCGTGTTAACAAATTTTTTTGTTGCAAAGACTTGTAATGGGCTGGTTGGAGACAATAAAAGAATTGGATTAATATTCATAGTTATTTATTTGTTCAGGAGTATTNAGATTTTTTTTTTTAATCTAAAGAAATTTTTGACAATTTATGAACAAAAAATTCTGATAAATGAACAATCAGTTCAATAGGTTGGTTATTTAACCAATGTACTTTACATTATTTAACCAAAGTACCGTTCTTGACGAATAATCATTAACATTTGCAGTCTTTTGCAAATCAATTAAAAATAATTCATTAGTTGGATTTAAACAATATAAATAAAACAAATAGAATGACTGGAAGTTTATCATATTTGTGGATTTTCACAAAAAAAGAAAAAAAACATAATAAAATTTGATTATTCAAGTATTGGACAGTAAATTATACTGTTAAAACATAAAACAATGATCTTTTCCTTTAAAATCATAAAAAAATATAGTATTGAAAAAAATTAACAAAAATAATATTTAATACAATGAAACATTTTTAAATATGTAAACTAATATTAAAATCACAATGTAACTACTTTTAATTTGTCTTCATGAATTTTCTCATCTCATTCATAAATTTACTTTTTAGGTACAATTCAGGATGATTTTTTTGCATGTGCTGTATCATTAAATATTTTCGATTAGTTTTGTAATCACAATGATAGCAATCGTACAAAAACATTCTTCCACACAACATTTTTATGTGTCGATTCAAAGCACCTAAATGTTTGTATTTTTTTCCACATTCAGGGCAGTAATGATAATTATTTGGATCATGTTCGGGATGTTTCAATTGTATGTGGATTGTAAGACCACGTTTTTCTCTGGTTTTAAACAGGCAATACTTGCACTGTATATTCGGCTCAAGACCACAGGTTTTTTCATGAGCTATCTTATTTTGTAACTTGTGAAATCTTTTATTACATTTAGTACAATTAATAACAGTATCTGAACTCAAATTAGAATGATGATTTTCTACGTGTTTCAAAAGCTGTAGCTTGACTGGACTAGAATAATTACATTCAGTACAATAAAAAATACTATCTATTAGACACTCATATTCGATATGATTTTTAATACTGGCTAATTTCTTATAAATACACTTGCACTTGGCACATTGGAATAACAACTGAGTTAGGCATTTGATGCAATACTTATCCACATAATTATTAGTAACTTGTTTGCACACAGAACAATATGAATTTATCAAATCAGACTTGTCTGCAAAAGGAAAATCATAAAATATATTTTAAAACTTACAGCTGCAAATTTTTATTTATTTTTTTAAATAAAAATATACTTGCTTAGTTGCATTTTTCTTATCAATTTGTGAGCTTCTGGCTGTATTAAACTTCCTTAAAAAAATATATTATGAAAACTACTTAAAACCTAATTCAGCCAATTCTAACAGTTGAAAAATTACCAAAATTTAATCCAGCTTTTATCTCAGTTGACTTGGTAATAGTTAAATCCATCGGTGTATCGCTATTATGCTCAAAAACACTGTTGAATTTTTTATCTGATACTAAAACTTTATGTTAATACCTACATATGTAACTACTTAACAAACAAGTATGATCATTCAAATTTTACCTTTCATAGGTTGTACTGGAACATTACAAAAATTAACACTAGTGGAAGTAAAATTATCTTGCATCAGTATGTCTTTATTAAATTCAGGTGTACTTTGATCAAAGCTGCATTTTTGGGGTGTGGTATCTTTAAATGAAATGTTGCAAGTTTAAAATAAAATTTTTTTCTAGTTGTATCACCTAACATATTCAACTAAACTTTACCTTTAGTAGGTTTTATTATGTTTTGAGAATCAAAGTCAGGAGTGCCTAGTAACATGGCTGTTTCATCTATTGGGAAACAAAAGATTTGCTTAAAAAACACTATGAGATTTATATGTATTTAAACTAATTCTATATCTAATGTTTCAAATAAACACGTCTAATTACATAAGGAATCAGTGAATGATTCATTTAATCGTTGACTTGTGTCAACTGATAAAAAAAATAGATAATGGTAAATAAATAATTATAATCGAACCGTCAGATGGCTGGCTGCGTAAGTATACGTCCGGAGTGCTCACTATTTCCTCTATGCTCGTCGACAAGTCTTCCATGGAAAACGATCTACCTTCTGCTCTCAACAGCTTTTGATACCAATGATGTTTATCCATTGTTTAGAGAGTAATGTCTTCAGCGAAGAATAGTCTAGCAATTCCTAACGTAACCTAAACAATAATGGTTTCTCTTAAGTTACAACTTTTTTCACAATTTCTCAGAGTTGCGGGAGTTTCATTGTTTTTAACGACATAGAACAACGTTACGAACGAAATTGTGCGATAAGTACAACGTGAAATTTGTGAAACCGATCCTTTAAGCACCGGCCGACGCCATTTTGTCTAAGAGAGCCCATCAGCCCACTTGTATTGCGAATTTGAAAAAGTACACACGAGACTCTCTGATTTTACAGTAGCACGTTGCACACCGATACGTATCGACTTGTAACAATTGGTCAACACAATATAGAAATCACATGCTGCCAAAAACTATACCTCTTTGCCGAAAAACAACAGTGACCTGCAGACACGCTGTTTCTCTTTTTCTTCTCTCCCAAACGAAGATGAATCTATAATATATCACTCGCGCGCGCCTGTTCCTCTTTATTTTCGTTTCAAATGAACAAAATATACGAACTCATACCGTGACATACGATTACCAACTTTCATACAATTTATTTATCATTAAACGCGAAATTTTCTCGCACGACAATGATGATAAACAGACGATGAGACGAAGCCGGTGAACAAATCCATGCGGAAGCTGAGCGACAAGTGATTAGTTTACTTGGATGCCGCAACGGGCTGCGGTGGCAGCAGATTCTCTTTTGTTCTCGTTTATTGTTGACGACAATGGCGGTAACGTGACTAGCACATAAGGACATAAGTTATATATGTGTTTGAATCATACATTACATAGAATTGGGACAGAAATGACGGATAAGATGACGATAAAGGCGATTTTATTCAAAAAAGACAGTTCACAAGCCCTGGAAACGTGATCCCGCGATTCAGGAGACATTGTCGTTGAATTGGA